ACCTAGTTTCTCGGGTTGTTAATCGATCTTTTGAAGGAAATTATACAAAACTCGGTGATGGATGGTTTATATTTTTTTCTTACCACTTGTTCATTCGTAGGGCTTGGTTGATGAAGAGAAGTTGGACTCCTTCAATGTACCATACTACACGCCATTACAGGAGGAAGTGCAAGATATAGTTGACAAGGAAGGATCATTCGCAGTTCAACATATAGAGACATTTACACTTGTTCTTGCAGACAACCAAGAGAGTGATACAAGGGCTAAGGGAGAACAACTTGCCAAGAATATCAGGTGCTACACTGAATCAATCATCTCTTACCAATTTGGAAAGGAAATAACGGAGAAACTGTATCACAAGTTGACCCAAATTGTAGTTAAGGACTTGGCCAGTAGATCACCGACGAACACAACCGTTGTTGTTGTGCTAAGCAGGACCATGGGATAGCTCAATATTCTCAGCTTGAATCAGGTGACGGCATGGCTAATAAGTTTTTTCAGATAATATGTTTCCATATAACTTTTCAGCACACACACACACACACACACACACACGCACAGAGACAGACAGAGAGAAATTCCACCTTTTTTCCTATCCCTTTGGACGTACAAAGTACAACTCACATATGGAGGAATGTTGTGGCTAGCTAGTATTTCATGTTAGATTGTCGTGCTAATTTTTCTGTACATTTATAACTCATTTACATTGTACACAACAAATTTCACAACTTAATTCAGATTGTGTGATTTTTAAAAAAATCGTCAAAGGCCCTATTATCTTTTAGCTATTATGTGACAAAGTACCTACTTGTGTTAAAAGGTGACCAAACTCTATACTTGGTGGAATTTAACTTATAATTATCACTAGAATGTGTAATAATGATCGCAAAGGCCTAAGAAAGACTTTACTTAGATTCTAATTGCGTGCATATATTCTCATTTTTTTTCCGCACATTCTCATGGTGGAATTGTTGACAGTAATACAACGTGATTGAATCATACCTACAACAATTATGTGCTTTACATGTAATGATTAAGTCTTGGCTTGGTATTATTATAGAATTCAATGATTCGATTGTATTTTATGCTTATTATGTTTTCATCATCCGAATAAGCGATGAAATTAAATGAATCAGACTTCACAGCGGCAATGGACATAATGGGGATAAACATGAAGGGATTGTGCTCCCTAGGGTAAAAGGCCTCAAACAACGTTTTAGCGTCCGAGAGGCATGTGAGTTACTCGTATCCTTAACTAAAAGAATTAGAAATGAGTGGTGGGACACACCGAGGTGCAAGCCTTTTAAGTGGTCCTAGCTTCCCCCCAAATTGTTGGACTTGAGAGGGATAATCCAGAGTTGGTAAGTAAGGACGTGTGAAATAATATTTATGGTGGATGCAATGCATGTGATTTTGGCATTTATATGTCATGTGCAACGTATGTGCTAGTGTAATACATGTAACAATATTTGTTATCTCATTTTGCAGGTAATAAGCTTGGAGATAACAAGACTTCTTTCCCGAAATTGTCTTGAATGCTTAACTTCTTTTAGCATGTATCTTGTTTTGGAAGTTTATGTATTTTGAACTTATGTTGAAGGTCTTTGGCTATGTATTTCTTATGTACTTTGCTTTGGAGACCTACAAAATATTATGTAATATTGAAACTTAAGGATAACAATCGTATGTAATAATGCTTGGGTTTGTTTTAATAGCTCTGGGATGCCAATTTTCTAAAAGAAAATTCATTAAATGAAATCATGATTGACTCACTCAAACTGTAAAAACTTATGAATTATCACTCAAATTATTAAATCAGCCCTATAAAATTTGGGACGTGAAGCAAAAAGCCTATTAATGGTGTTAATTTTTTATATTGGTCCAAAACCACAGAGGATTTGGTGGTTATATTTGAACCATAAGGGGTGAGCCCTCTTGGGCCCACCAGATTTCCCTTTTGTGAAATATAAGTAGACCAAATTTTTGCACATTTCGGCTTGTTGCACATTTTGCATTCTCTTCCATTTATTTAGTTCTCTATTTTTCTCTGTTTATTTTTAATTACCATCTCTTGCATGTTTTGATTTGAATACTCATTTCTTTTTGGAATTGTTGCGTTACAAATTGTTTGATATGCAAATTTTATGAAAAGTAAATAATCTTTTGCATGGGTGGGTGTGATGAGAATGAATTACACTCAAATTCGTATTGTAAAGTATTAGAGGTTTTTCTACCTTGAAGGGTTTAATGGTTGCATAACACTTGTAGGGAGTTTGATTTCTTGCGAGAGTCAACCACTATTTGTTCATGTTGGTTCAAGGTTCAGAAAGTATTTTCACTTATTATGCAGCTTAAATGAGGTTTAGAACAGTTATACGGTAGAAGGAAATCTTTTAAAAATAAAAGTAAAGTACTATTACATTATTTACCTACAAATAACAAAAACAAACAGAAAGATGGGACAACTCATGCTTCAAACTTCATGGATGGCCACAGATTAAACTTATAGCCTGTTACTCGCTTGGACTTGCCCTGATCACCTGATGGTATTACTCGTCATGGTATTGAAACCTTTCTTCATCTACCACTTCTTGTTCTTTTATTGGAATGTTTACCTCCTTGTAATTAAACCAAAAAGCAAGTGCATAGAAAAAAAGATTGGCACAACTCATTGCTGCTAGTGTGTAATAGTACTTATCTAGTCGGCTTTTTTTTAGTGTCTCCCCGACCCAGATTTCAACCCTTCTCTCGTCGCTAATCTTTCCCACAACATTAACAGTTAGAACACTAGCTATGAATCCAACTCCCAAGAAAGCTTCAGTGAGTTTGCTCAAATATGACTGCATTGAATTAGGTACTTGATCGACCCAAAAATGGGTCATGTTACTGAGGACAATCCCTTGTGCAACACCTAGGAGGAGAAACTGAGGAATCAGCAAGAAAATACTCATTGGGATTGTGCTATGAGGGACGTCGATTAGGCCATGTCCCTTGGCCACATTTAACCTCCTTTGCTCCACCAGCGTGGCGACAATGCAGCAGAAAATGGATATCATGATTCCAAATCCAATTCCTATTGCAGGTATGTGTTTTGCTTCACCATTCCAAAAATGCTTCCAGTGATTGCAATTAAAGAATGAATGCTTGCGAATATATACATGGAGAATGCATAGAAGTATATAAGGAATGATAATGTTAAGAACCTGAATCTATGAGTTATACTCATGGCTTGCTCTAGGAAAAAAGAGGTCTCCATCGAGGAAACAATTCCACAGATGATAAAAGGCATCAACATGGGAATCACAGAGGATAAAATACATAGAGTTGAACTTAATAAAATAACAAATTCAAAGATTTTGTTGAAATTGTTCATTTGAAAATTTCCCGAAAAAACTAATCATAGGTTTTTCTCTCCGTCAAAACAATAAAGCCGTTATGCTCATTGGTAAACTTGTTGAAGAGATGAAATATAATAAGGGTATAGAAGAGGGAACAGAGAGCAAACTTACTATGCTCGATTAAAGGCTTGAAATAGAGAACATCCAATAGTCACCAACAAGTCTCCACAAGGAACGTCATGGCGGCTAGCATAACATGTATTGAGCCTGTCATGACACTCACAATGGTCGCGGTATGGGTGAAATTTAGCTTCCAAACATCCGATAGAAACACCGTGATGTTCCACATGGAATACTTTGATATCTCGTTTGCCCAACTCAGCACTTGAAAATCGATTCAGGGAGAAAAAAATAATCAAATGTAATGAAATTTATCAAGCTAGAGTTAGAGTTACAATGATCAATACAATACTGGTTTGTGTGGTTTGTTCTCCAAAACAGTTTTCTATTCTCAAAAATAGTAAAACTCTTAAGATGCTGTTTGGACAACAATTTCCAAAAAAAATTCAAAATAAGTGGGAATTGAGAACAAAAACTTGTCTGAGTTTTCAAGCCAAAATAGAAAACAAGAAAAAGAAGGGAAACAACCCAAAACTCTGTAATGAGGTCTCCGCTTCAAACCTCCTTAGCAGCAAAACATGGCATGGTATAAAAAGTTTCTTTTTTTTCACTTGTCTTTCCCTCCCAATAATAGATAATCCAATAGAATAGAGCGTGTTGTTTGAGTTGTTTAAGCTCTTAACTTAGAAAAATACAATAATAATCTAAATCATTTAGATCTGACAGTTTATCTTACGATTTAATACTTTAACTTTTTAACTACCATAACTCATTTAAATAATTGTCAACTAAAAATAATTAAAAGACAAGAATAATGTTATTAGAACTTAAATTTTTAATTTAATTTGTTGACTTAATAATGTGAGTTCGTTGTAACTATTGGAATAACACCAAATTCTAATATTTGATGGAAATATGATCAATTCAATGACTATAGTAAATTTAAGTCCTAATAGCATTGCTCCAAAAACAAATGTCTTGGGTTTAGTGAGAAAGAACTCAAATTTCGTCGCTTAATACTTGAGTTCGAGTCTCTATAACCAAGGGCGGAGGGAGGCATGGGCCAGGTTGAAGAAGTGCCCCCCTCAAAAAAAAAAAATTTTATTAGATACGTATGTATATTATATATTTGTATAACATATTATTTGTATCCACCTAAAACCCAAGATAAAAAGTTAGGCCCACATTATTTATGTAAAAGAATTAAAAAATTAAACCCATTTAAAACAAAAAAATTTGAGCCTACCACTATCTACTCAAACTTATTAAAAAATTAAATTTTGACCTATCACAATCCACCCAAACCTAATAAAAAAATAAAACTTTTGCCACCCAAACCAACAAACAACCACAACTACCTCAGCAAGTGCATGAACCCAACCCTCCAAACCACTCCAACCCCTCCCTATATAAACCACTCCCACCTCTACACTCTCTCTCACTCCTCACTTCACAAGAATTCCAACCCATTCGAAGTGAGGCAAGAGAGCCTTAAAGACTCAGACACTTCAAAGCTCAAACATGCCTATTCCTTCTTCAACCATGGCTTCTTCACAATCTCTAACTCTCATCTCCAAATGCACCATCCTCCCAGACCAAAAATCGATACTCTCTGACCTCAAACTCTTAGTCTCCGATCTTCCGATGCTCTCCTATCACTACATTCAAAAGGGTGGTCTCTTCACTCGCCCTCCTGTTCCAATTGACTCTCGCATCTTTCTCCTCCAATGTGGTCTTTCCCAGACTCTCTCTCTCTTCCCACCACTCGTCGGACGTCTCAAAACTGACCCTTCCGGTTATGTTTATATCACATGTAACGACGCCGAAGTTGACTTCATTCACGCTAGTGCAATTCACATTCATGTTCGCGACATTTTGTCCCCAACTGATGTCCCTAATTATGTCAAAGAGTTCTTCGCTTTTGATAGGACACCGAGTTACGACGGCCATTTCAAGCCTATATTGGCTATGCAAGTGATTGAGCTCGCTGACGGCGTTTTCATTGGTTGTGCACTCAATCACGCCGTTACTGATGGCATGTCGTTTTGGAACTTTTTCAATATTTTTGTGGAGGTTTGTGGAACTGGTCAAGGAAGATTTCGAGGGTACCAGACTTCCGCCGTGAATCGGTGTTGATCTTGCCGGCTGTTCTCAGAGTCCCTGAAGATGGACCCAAGGTAACTTTCTCCGTTGATGCTCCGTTGAGAGAGAGAATTTTCAGTTTCAGCAGAGAATCGATTCTAAAACTGCAATAAAAAACAAACGATCAAATATTGATCTGTAGTCGTAACGGAGCAATTGATAGAGTCAAATTGATGGGGAAGCAAAGCAACAATCCTTTGAAGGTCGTCGATGGGAAGATAATGCCGTTGAAATGGCTATAAAACACCGTTTTGAACACTGAAAGGAAATATGCCTATCCAACGGTATAGATCTCATCTTTTCAGTCACTTTGTGCTCTACTATGGTGAGTGGTGACATGTGCTCGGAAACTACCATCATCCAAAACGACAACGTTCAGAATGGCGGTGAATTGCCGTCATCGGCTTGAACCAAAGCTTGATTCGTACTATTTTGGAAACGCAATTCAGAGCATTCCAACGTATGCCTCCGCCGACAACGTTCTGTCACGTGATCTCTGATGGTGCATCGAGCAACTAAACAAGAACGTGAAGGCCCACGATAATGCTACGGTGAGGTGATGCGTAGAGGATTGGGAGTGGACCCAGAGTGTTTCCCGTTGGGAAACTTTGACGGGGCGATGATCACGATGGGAAGTTCGCCCAGATTTCCAATGAACAACAATGATTTCGGGTGGGGCAGACCCGTAGCCATTCGGAGCGGACAGGCTAATCAATTTGACGGTAAGATTTTGGCATTTTTCAGGGAGGGAAGGTGGTGGGACCGTTGATTTGGAGTTGGTCTTGGAGCCTGAGACTATGGAGGGCTTGGAGTTGGATTCGAAGTTCATGTATTATGTGTCGGGTTATTGAATTGTTCATGATTTGAGTGTGACGGATTTTTGGACCCTGTGACAGTTATAGTAGGTGATTGGGAGAAGTGGAGGGATGTTTTGCCTGTGTTATGTTTTTCAGATTTTGAATTTAATTTGTTAAGGAAATGCTTAATTCGTGTTTTATTATCACTTACTATAATCATCCCAAATTTTTTTTTTTGTCGCTAATTTGATCTTTTTGAGAAAGATGGCAGGATGGTTCAAACCCATGACTTAACAGTCTAATAGTAGGTTACGGTGACCATTTTTTTTGGGGGTTCAATAGCTGTCTAGATTAGTTTACACGCATCTCGACTAATCTCATATCCGATCTAGTTAAAGGTAGACCATTCACGTCAAAACTAGAGAATTTAAGAGAAATAAATTTCTCATGATCTAACCCGAAGGAGTTGCGGTGGCCATTAAGAACAAAGAAAGATGTAATAAAAAAATAAGACAAAGGAGAACAGAATGTCAAACGAGTAGAAAAGCCAGAGAAAGCCTAAGCCAAAATGTCCACCTATGAAGTTGCACAATTTATGGAGAAAAAATGATTTTTGTCTAACTCATTAAAAAAATTGTTCATTGAGAGAGGTTCCTAGCGTAACGATAATTTTATTCCATTTGGACTTAAAACTTAAGAGTTTGAGTCATACAAACCGTTGGTCAATGGTTCACTAGTTTAACAGTTGGATTAACTGGCCGGACCGGTCGTATAATAAAAAAATAAAAAAAATTATAAAACATAATAATTTAACTAAAAGTCCACAATCAAAATAAAAATTACAATAATAATATAAATAAAAATCACATCATATTATTTAAAGCATAATTTACATGCTTTATTTTAATTTGATGTGTGTGCTAATTGTGTGTGTATAACGTATAGTATACTGTGTGTGTGCATGTAGATATATATATATATATACACAAAGAGAGAGAGAGAAAGATGAACCCAGCCAAGAGACATAAGAGGAGATGAACCCAGGCAAGAGAGAAGGTTAGTCATCTTCCAGCCCATGACTTTTAGATGAACCCAGCCAAGATAGAGAGAGAGAAAGAGAGAGAAAAGAAGACAACTTGCATAGACAAGGAGAAGACGAGATCTATGGTGGAGGAGTTCGAATCTTGGAGATCTGTGGTGGCAACTGTTGTTCAAGTACTGGAGATGGAGATACGGTGCCGAAGAAAATGAAGACAAAGAGGTGGCTGGTATTAAGATGTGAACCGGGAGATTTTAGAAATATTCCAGTTCACTGGTTTTGGTCAAAATTGACTGGTTTGACGGTTTTTCAACGGTTCAATTCCTTATATGGTCTAATTAGAAAATCGGACCAGCTAAGATCTCAGGTCACGGTTGAACCGGTCCGACCGGCCTGTCTAGTCTGGGTTCTGATAACACTGATACAAACAATCTATTTGTATACAAAACTGCATAAATCTAATCCAATTCAAAACTCACAAAAGTATAAATACTCATGCATTGAATTGCATATATCTAACCTTTTTTTTACTTCTTTTTAGAAATAACTTGAATCAATTGTTGATTTTTATTTTGTATATTTTTTTAAAAAAATCTTAAACTATGGGCCCACGTGCACAAAATCGAACATTGCATCTGGGGTTACTTTTTGTATTTCAAGTTGCCATTATAAAAGGAGGGAAAAAGGATTATGCAGAGAGCTTTGCCTAGTCTTTTCTAAGGCAAACCATCCTTGCCTGTGGGAGTGGGGCTATCAATACATTGAATATCATGAATTCATTGTCATAATCAGTTGTCATCCAAACAAAGAGTATGCTTATAGATTCTGTGATTCCAAAACGGATTCACTTTGTCTCTCTGTTTGTATCCAATAACTAATCACACTCATTAATCACGGTTACATTTCATCAACATTTTTAAAATCGAAATATTATATTGGACCAATCGAGGAAGTTAAAAAATCGAATAAAGAATCATAAAAACCTATTAATTAAAAAAATGAGATAAAAAATATATGTAGCAATATAAAATTCCCAAAAATAAAACTAGATAAACCTAATAGAAATGCTATGACAAACATATATTTCTTTTTTGAATGGTCAAACAAAGAACTTAAAATATGCTTGAAATTTGATAAACTACAACTTGAATACTAAAGAAGGTTTAAAATCAAAGGTGAATTGTTGTTAATCATGTAGAATTTTGCAAAGAGAAATATGAGGATTGAAGTATTTTGATCTTAAGTTTCAGAGACAGAGAGACTGAAAAGTTGAAACGCTATTGAATAATAATATTGAGTATATGACATCCAAACAAAAAAAGCAAAACAGAATAAAAATATCAGACTATTTGACTATGATCGCTCTCCGAGAGAGAAAATTAAATTTAATCATTGTTTTAAACTTTTCAAAGAGAGACGAATGATTAAAAAGAATCTTTTGTAAACGAAAAACATGAACTAGGTTGCTCAACAACTAAATGAACCTAAGAAGCAAACCTAACAACTTAAATCAGTAAGATCACAATTCAGATCAGAATCCTACATTCCCAAGTAGACCCAAATTGATTTACTTATAACCCGTCATACAAGATCTTAAAATCCATATCAAAATTTTGATAACCATGCATTCCATACTCCTCATGTATCAATACTGCCTATAGCATTACTGGATTTTGATCCCTATTCCCTAGAAAACTACAAGGCAACCAAAGCGGACGTAGGGGGGTAGCACATCAAAAAAGAGCAAAACAACGTTCCATTCTTTTTGGTTTTCAATAACTTGCTTTGTTAATCTTACAGTGTGTGTTACACAAGAGAACTTAAACCTAATCTTTTTACTCTGAACGAACTGGCATTCCCATAATTCCAAAGAAAAATTAAACAAAGGCTCTCCCGAGCCATCAAATTTTGAGAGATTTTACATGGTTTCTTCATAATATTTAACCCAACACAAAACAATTTGGATGGAGAACAACAACCAACTAAAGCAAAAAACCTCGAATACACTACAACAATTTCTCTAGGACCAAAAAAATTAGCATAGTTCTCATATAAGGGCATAACTTACTAAAATTGACCACATTTTAAAAGAAAAACCACCTTGGCCATACATTTTCCTCTTGAAAAGAGATGGTAGATATCACCTACAAAATCTGATCAGCGGTGTTCAACTTTTCTGTTGAGCTGAGTTGTGTTCAGGTGATGCTTGACAAATAGAGCAAAAGTAGTTGGTCCTACAAGGTTAAAACCCAAAGCAAATTTATGGTCAAATAGAGGTGCCATTGAAACAAAATCTGAGGTTCTTGACCAACTAGAAACAGCATAATTGCATATACTGCCAAAAGGAAAGCATAATAACTGAGTCCTAAGTTGCGAAAACAAAACTCAGGATTTTGATCATTGAATAAAAAATGGATGAAGTAATTGTAGAATTAATTATATATTTTAAGTATAGATTTATAATTGGAATTAATAATAATTGCTACTGAATTTGACCAAAACAACAAATATTAGAATTATAATGTGAGCAAAATAAATATAAGTGTTGTAATCTAAAATTAGGTATAAAACATGCCAACAGTAGTTAGATCATAAAAAAAATTATAACATGCAATTAAATATATAAAGATGCAATCTATATAAATCAAATAAATTTATTTGGAAAGAGCTGATCTGCGAGCTCGAGAGGCGTGTGATCACTGTCCTAAAGCAGCTGAGCCTCCCCACATGAGGGTACTGACAAACACCAACGACTCCATGATCCAACCCAAACACTCGCAACAGCACCTTCTCAATGGTCATGTCCAATGGAAGGTTGGAATGAACTTGACTTGAATCGAGTTGCCCAAAAATAAAATAATAAATGATAATGGAAAAATGTAGGCCAAATGCAAAAGAATTGATATGAGCAATTGGATAGTCTACTGAAATGAGCAATAGGAAGAAAGCCTGTAGTGTTGATTAGAAAATAAGAAGAAAGCCTGCGGTGTTGATTGTTGGGTTTCCCTCCTTTGTGGGACTCATCAATTTGCTAAATTTTTGGTGGCCTACCCGTGTAGGACTCTTATCCAAGACTTGGTTTGGAGTCTTCTAGTTAAAAAGGAATTTGGCAACCACCAAAGACTATAAGTTTTGTCCCTTTTCTTTGGTTCATCTTTTCTCGGTTGGTTAGGCAAGAAGACATATTTTCGGCAGTCTTTGGTTCAACAAAAATTCAGCCTTCTTCTTCTCCTTTTTGGTGCCAGAAAAATCTGCAAATTTGTTCTTCAAGTGGGTAATATTTCTTCACTTGATATTTGGGTTTCTTGCGGTTTGTTCTTGGAGATTTGGTTCACTTATTTTGTGAGGTATTTTCCTCTTGTGATTTACACCTTGGTGTGTTTGTAAGGCTTATGCCTTTTGGCCACTTTGTAATCTGATTTGGTGATAGTGGAAGAAACTGACCTACCGGTCGTCGTGGATGTACCTCAAGTTATTTGAGGGAACCACGTAAATCTTGTGTGCTTATTTATTTTCTGTTATTTTATTTATATTGCTTCCATTGATTTACACTTGTGGGAAAGCCTATTTTCCCAACATCTGGTATCAGAGCAATTGGTTAATTCGGTTCCGATTCGTTATATTTCTGTGTGTGAATTATGGACGGCAACGTTGGACGTATGGT